GGTCATTCCAGAGGGCAGGAGCTGCCACAGAGAAGGCTCTCCCCCTGGGGGTCGCCAGCCGGCATTGACTGGCTGACGGCACCCTAAGGAGGCCCTCTCTGTGGGAGTGGACTGGTCGAAGGGAGATATTTGGTAGGAGGCGGTCTTGCAAATACCTAGGTCCATTGCCATGGAGCGCTTTAAAGGTTGTTACTAACACCTTGAAGCGCACCCGGAAGGCCACAGGCAGCCAGTTGTAGTTCTCTCTGTTTGGAATAGTTTTGTTCCCCCAAAACCAAGGTACTTTTATCAAATTATAGAATGACAGACTTGGAAGGGATATTGGAGGTCTTCTAGTCCAACCCCTGATCAAGCAGGAGACCCTATTCCATTCTGGACAAATGGCGGATGAAGGTCTTCTTTAAAAAACCCAGTGATGGAGCACCCACAACTTCTGGAAGTAAGACGTTCCACTGATTAATTGTTCTGAGTGACAGGAGATTCCTGCTTAATTCTAGGTTGGATCTCTCCTTAATAAGTTCCATCCTTTACTTCTTGTCCTGCACTCAGGTGCTTTGGAGAACAGGTTGACCCCCTCTTCTCTGTGACAGCACCTCAAATATTGGAAGACTGCTATCATGTCAGCCTTAATTCTTCTCTTTGCTAGACTAGACATACCCAGTTCTTACAACCATTCATCGTACTCTGATTCTGATTGTTCTCAAAGGTACATAATTCTGGAGTATTTTAAAAGTCAGTAGCAAACTGCGATAAAGTCGGAATCTTGCCCTACAGAATTTTACGAAAGAAATGGAATATTTTAGGAAGGCAGTGCTGATTACTAAGAAATCAATTCTGTTGCTGTCACCGTGTTAACAAAAAGCAATAAAAAGCATTTAATCAAAGAAATAGGAAGGAAAAAAATGCAGGGGTGCCTCAGGGGTCAGTCCTCTCCCCCCTATTGTTCAATATTTATGTAAAGCCGCTGGGGGAGATCATTCGTGGCTTTGGGGTGGACTTCCATCAGTACGCTGACGATACGCAGCTGTACATTTCCACCCCGGGCCACCCCAACGATGCCCTTGACGTGATGGCCCGTTGCCTGGAGGCCGTACGGGGCTGGATGGGGAGAAACAGACTCAGGCTCAACCCTTCCAAGACCGAGTGGCTGTGGTTGCCGGCGCCTCGGCATAGTCAGCTGACGCCATCGCTGACTATAGGGGGCGAAATTTTGGCCCCCTCAGAGAGGGCCCGCAACTTGGGAGTCCTCCTGGATCCACGGCTGACATTGGAAGACCATCTGTCGGCCGTGACCAGG